ACGAAGCCCCCAATTGGAAACCCGGACAGGGGCTCCGGGAGCCACCAAATTTTTAGGTCATTACCCGGTTTGGCAATGAGCCAGGATGGGAAGCATTGGGCAAGGATCGAAGGAGAGCACCACAGTGGTGCATTGATCGATGTGGGTGGAGAGGGGGAGTGGGATTCGACTTTTATAGCCTCACCACAGGTTGTTTATCACTGTCGCAATGATCTAAGGATGTATTATCATTCTTTTGACATGCAGGCCGGGTGTTTCTGCATAGGCCTCGCGAGATCTAGAGATGGTATAAAATGGGTAAAATTGGGAAAAATAATGGGAGGTGGGTTGCCTGGATCATTTGATGAGGGGGGTGTTATGGGCCCGCAAGTGGTGAGTAAGATAGGGAAGGAAAGTGGAGAAGGGTATGTCATGGTTTATGAAGGGTTAAAGGCAGATGGGTCTCGAAGCATTGGATTGGCAGAATCACCAGATGGATTGAAAGATTGGAGGAGGTGTAGCGAAGGGGTGGTGGTTTTAGGACCCTCAGCAGAGAAGGATAGATGGGATAATGGAGGGGTGGGTTCACCAAGTGTAGTTCGAATGGATGGAGGAAATGAATGGAGGTTGTATTACAGGGGATTTGGGAAAGTAGGGAGGTCAGGTATCGGAATGGCTGTTTCTGATGATGGACTCAAAACTTTCAAGAGATGGAAAGGATTTCACCTGTGAGGAAATCTGCATGTGCGTGTGTGTGAATGAGGCTGATTCAACAGCACCTTTTTTTTGGAACTAGTAAATCAAAGACATACCTTCTTTCTGAGTTTATGCAGGAAAAAGGCCTCATAGTTATGATTCTGCTGTATGAAATAATGACCACTATCAGAGTAAATAGAAAAGACAAATTGGTTTAGCATGCAGAACTCTAATATATGTTATTCAAGTTATTGCCTGTATGGAACGGATGGCATTTATCTTGAGTACACAATTATTCAACATTTAAATTCTTGTGAACGTCTTATATGGATATCTAAACTCTTTTATGTTATTTGTGGATGTAAGTTGTTTTTTAGAGTCAAATGGGGACAATTTGACTTTCTGGCACCATGTTGTTCAATTATTTGTCACAAGATCCGCAATGGGAAGAGAGTTCCTAGGATGGGTATTAAGTCTAGCAAGTTAAGTAGATGGTGCTAGTATTCTGCTTGTGCATGCACAGCTCCACGCAAGCAGAGAGGCTAGTGCCATGTGAGCGTGAATGATTCGCTTGGGTGTGCAAAGAAGCTTTTGTTAGACGTACACCATGAGAAAGAGAAAGATGATCGAGCAATACCGTTTAGTTAAATTTTCTATTCAATATTACTCTTCAATCATACCTAAGTCACATTATTTCGTCATAGATATTAGATTTGAAGTAACAAAATTATACCACTATGTCAACCAACAACCATCCGCCCAAAGAGCAAAATCAACAAAGAATTAAAGACAAAATTATTCACATAAGATGCTTACATGATATCGTGATTTATGACCATGCCAATGTCAATTTGATTTCCACCAAATTATAGTCTAACATATGATCCATCAAAAGAGAAAAACCAAGAAAACTTTTAAATTAATACTTATAAATTAACCTTACGATCAAACTAAAGCTGTATTAAAAAAAAGCCAAGCTGTAAAAACTATACTTCCAAAGAGTAAAGATAGGCAGAAAAAGGTCGAAAAACAGTAATGATAATAAACATCAATTATATTTTAGACTACGGTCTCACTTTGATCTGAAAAATTAAAAAGCCCAAAAAACAATTTATGTAAAAGAGAAAAAGAATTATGCCAAAGAACAAAAGCAGATGAGGAAGCTACCTAGATTCCAAACCTCACGACATATTTTGTTTCCCGTGAGGAATGATAGGTCCTACTTCGGATTAGTGGTAGTTAATTGGAGTCAGAGTCTGTTGTGACCATTTGATGTGCATCTTTGGGTTCTATGTCAGTAATGGATGCAGGCCGTTCAGAATTAACTCTTGCCCTTGTATGATCTTTGGTAGAATCCCCGCTGATGTCCTGCATAATAATGGATCTGTGATACAGTCATAATTGCCAGAAAAATGACAAGAACAGGAAAATCAATAGCACCACGGATGTACCGAGCCATTGTAGACATGCACATAACTAGTACATAGTGTGTGCATTGGAAAGCATGAATGGCAAAATGCAAGTGCATATTTTCCATGGTTTTGAAAAGTGAAGCAAGGAAGTGTATATCAATACTAACGATATAAAGAAGTCTGTATGTGTATTTTTCATTTACAGAAAAATCTAGGAAATTAAAACTTTTAAAGAAATAATAACTATAAAAAAGGAAAATTTGGATTCTTAATATAATGATATAATACAAATTTATTTTCTATAGCAAATTTTATCAAAATAAACTATTAGTTCTACATATTTACGGCAAATTTTAATTATAATATTTGAAGAAATAACATAAAATGTCATATGTTATTACTCGCTCTAAAATAATCTAGCTAATTAAAGGGAAAATTATCAAAAAACCCATGTGAGGTCAACCCTTTAATATTGAAACCATCTTCTTTGATTTAATTTTAAAAATACCCTTAGAAAGACACAAGATTATGACTTGGAATAGTGTCAAAAGTGTAAAATGAAATACATGTCATAGGTATTTTGAAAAATTTCTCCCAATCAAATATTTATGATAAACCTCATACATTTGAAGGAATGTATCGTATAATATTGATAAATTCAATTTATCCAAGAAATGAAGTATACAGTTGTGATTAGTAACACATCCTATCTCAATTTTAATTTAGGTCATCTGTGTCCTTTGAGTGTGGCTTCGCAATGATAATGATGAACAATCTACCAGCCTAACCCTTTTTTAGCACAAAAATTTAAGTTTTGGGGAAAATGTTGAGGTAGAGTGCAGTCTATGCAATGGCCCTTGATATGCAGTATGAGATTTAATACAATCTGCTTCTCATAAAGAAGACAGTTAGGAACTGGTTTATTGAATGTATCAAAAGATAATGGATATATATATGCAACATACTTTTCCTTGATAATGGATCCGAGCAGCACCACAGCAGCTCATTAATAATGCCTGTATACTGTTCTCACTTGGAGATTGTGATTGTTTAGACAATAAGATGACTAAAATTAACAGCTACACGACAAGGATAACAGGCAAGATAATCTCTTCTTTAAAAAAAAGAATATTGTTTTGTAGAGAATCATAAGATATAAATTTCTCCTGAAACTGCTACTTCCATTCTATATTCTTGTTTTACCTATAAGGAATGAAACTATAACATAAGAAATAAACCAAGTTCAGTTGCTAATTGAACAATAAAATGAAGCCCTGGGAAGAAATGGTAACTTTTTATCCATTTGTTACCGTAACCAAGTGAAAATTGTGACAACAGAGTAAAGAAATTATGGATGCCATTCTTCACCTTTTTACCCTGCTGAATTGACTCGCTGGCATGCAGCCAGATGGTGCCAAAATACAAAGATGCCACTAGTAGCAAGATGGGCCCCACCCTTGGATCTCTCATTCGATCATAAATATCCGTACCAATGCTCTGTAATTTTAACTTAATTGATTTGCTTGTGGACACAATCCCTTCAGCCCCTTTGGACCAGAGCGGGTTAGCATCCTCAGGAATAAGTTCTGGAGTCTTCATCCTCTGTATGCAATATAGAGAAGCAGAATTGAGATATAACATAAAATACATCCAAATCAACATCCTCAAGAAGTAAGAAACTGTATTATTTATTTTCAACATGTAATGCATAAGCAGACGTGAATTTCTTGAACCTAATTTGCCTCTGCAATCTCAGAAACTCGGATCAACCCCTAAGTTCCCTAATAGAGTGGCTGATTAAAGTAAAACTAGTGCATTTTCAATTGGGGGTGGGGGGGGGTGTGGGGAATCCAAACTAGCTTTGGACAGGTTGTAATATCTAAGCTAACTTCAAGTAGGTTCTCATGCTCATGTGGCCTAGTATGATCATGGAACTAGTAGTGCTCTGAATCTCATCAATGCCTTCATTGCCAAAAGCTTGGATCCATCATTTTCTGTAGAAGTAGACTGAGAGGAAACTTACAAGACATGCTTGCAGTCCAATAGCCACACCTAATACAACCAGTGAAAAAGAAACTCATGCGAGTTCACTCGGACTTGGCAGGCTGCTGAGTCCAGAACACCCCCCTTTGTTTAAATCAATTATAATTGATATCTAATTAAATTTGCATATGATTTTTATGAATTTTAATCCATTTTTCTTAGTCATTCTAAGAAAAATGATATTTAATTAGTTTTCTATACTTTGAAAACTTTTTCACATCTTATATATTTTTTTTTTGTTGTTTATCATTTCTTTTTTTCTCTTTTTTTTCCAATTTTACCAAATTTTTAGTTTTTTTCTTTTTTTTTGGTCCTTTGCAAGGCTCGGGAGGGACTCGGGCAAGTTGACTCAGAATCACCCTAGTTCACTCAGCTTGAGCAGGATACGAGTTCCGAGTCCAACCCATGCTTAAAAACATGATTATAACAAATACACAGCACCAGATTGATACAGCAAGAGCAAGCTCTAAGCCATCTACTACAGAGTGGTAAGGGTCTAGTTTGAGCCACCTGGTAGCCATTTGCACCCACACTCCCATTCACCCAGAGATTGTAGTAATCTAATGAGAGAAATGTCTATTGTAGAAGGAATGGGCTCTAGTCCTGGGTGATCAGGGTAGCAGGTTTCACAACATGACATCTAGAGTTCCATTGCTATTGAGGTCCTAAGTTAACAATCAAAAAAAAGAAATGTCTACTACGAAGATCCATGTTTTGGATGAAGAAAGAGCTCAACCGATGCGAATACTTGGGATTGAAACTGCATTCATTTTAACTGACTAGATTATAAAATATCTATATTTTGACTTGCCCTCCTCACTGCACACAGTAAAACTTGAAGGGGAAGGAGAACTTTATGTGTGACAAGTGCAGATACACAAAACCTTAACCCCTGATAAGACAAAACGGACAAGGTCTAGCAGGCTAAATCACTTATAGAAATCCTAACCTTAAATATGCTTACTCTTAATTCCAGTTCATTATTTGATAATGGATATAAATGCCACATCCAAAGACATGCACTCTTGACATGGACAAGAAGTTGCTAATAAAAAAGCTCTATGATCACAAAGAAATCTATTTAAAGAGCATTCATGACCTAATTGAACTTAAAGTTGCAGAAAAATAATATAGTCAAAGGCTGTCATGTCACATCATTCAGAAGCCAACCAATACGTTATCTTCATACCAAATAGATGGGATTTCCATTGTTATGAGCTAAACCAATTAGCACATCAAGATCTGTCCAGAATATTCATAACTGCCACTTACAAAGAAGGGTAAATTTTTAGAGTCTCCATCCTTGATAATCTGTGAGATCCATTCCAGAATCTGCCATAGAACACAGATTGTGATGAAATAAAAATAAAATAAAATAACTGCAGGAAAAAGATGGAAGTGGTATCACATAGCAAAGAAAGCAACAGTGTGAATCTATCTTAACTATCTGCTACCTTTAAGATCATATTGATTTTTCAAATTAGTTGGAGCAATCACATGATGGAAGCTCATAAAAGGAAAGAACTGAGATGAAATTTGAGGATTACGAGAAGTGGGAAGTTAACGGTTAAGCCTTATGCACCCCAGTACACCAACCCAACACCTCAACAACAAAAACATCCCAGGTCAATCATATTTAACATCAATGACTCAACACCACTAGCTCCCAACATTTCCTCAAACCCCAAATGCCAGTTGCCTAAAAGATTCCAATTCACCAACTTGTATATTTGTAAGATGTGCCAATTATATGGCAAAAGATTGGTTAATGCTAGTATGACCAGGAATTCAATTGGAGATGAAGAACTTGCCCAGTCGTGCGGCTAGCCATAGTATTGTTAATTTAAAAGAATAATCAAAGAAATAGAGTCGGCAGAAACTAATATTTCCACTCTTGAAAGAACAGCAAATGAACTATCGGTCATCCGCAAAGGGGCCATCTCATTATATGAAGACCAAAACCATGGGTCTAGAACAAGATATGCAAACCTTGTAATTTCATTGTGTATAGACATTTGGAACATGCAAGGCAGTACTGACAGTTATATTTTCATTCCTTCAGTCTATACACTAAGCTTTCGTTCATAAACAAGGCTCAATTCTTCCCAATGAAGAAAAGGAAAGGGATACAACAGGAAAGGTATCAACGAGCAAGAACAACAAAATTTAACAAAACAAACTACAAGAAAATATTGTGCTTCCAAAACAAGAAACAAATTTGTCAAAATAAACTTCTCACAACTAGGCAGATAAGATCATTCCTATAGCAATTAATAACATCTTGTAAAAGGTCATAAGAAACTCTTATTATAAGAAACTCTTACAGATGGAATTACACTCGAACCATTGTATCTAGCCACAAGCTGTGATGCCAGATGATCTTCTTCCTCCTCTCGTAATGTATCCCAAATTGTTTTCGCAGGTCTCTCAACCTTTACAGCAACTTTTGAAGAATTCTGGCTATAGCGTACAATAAATAGTTGTGGTACATCAACAGGATCGTCGTATCTTCGAGGGCCACAGGTTTCATAACCATACTCCGAATAAAGATAGAAAAAACAATATTTCTGAATAAAATAAGACAGTGTTATTGCATTGAGCTATATAAAATAACATTAAAATACAGAAAAGCAATGCTTGAGATGTTAGAAATTGCAAAATCTCACTATGCAATCTACCTAATGGGGGAGAAAAAAAACCCTCACCATATGATGACAGAAAAGGTATCATAAATAATGTTAAAGAAAAGTGACTATGAAAAGGAACACCAACAAACCTCCCATTTATCAGAAAAAGAAAAGACCAACAGATCTTCCCCTCACACTACCATTACAGATCTGACACCATGGGCCCACTACCTTTCGCTTCAGGGGGTAGACCTAGCCCTATGGCACATTCGTTTTTGGTTAAGTGGGATTCCCAAGAACTCATACAGATTCTATTCAAGCCCTTGTAACTTGTAGATATGCTGTAATTAATAGAAGAAACATAGAGATATTTACCCATCAACGAACTTCAGAACAATTGATTATTAAACAATGATCCAAACCAAACAAGCAAGAGGAAAATTGGAAAAATTTAGAGCAACATGCTAACAAACAAGGAAATGATGCATAGCTTTTCAGTATGACTTTTCATTCATCAACCACAAAAGAAAATAGAAACCAACATTATCATGAATTTGAAAGATTCAAACAACTTTTAAAGAGTAACAAAGCACATATGACTAGGCGGTATTTAAAACTACATGAGCTTGATAAAAATCACCTGTCTATGTCCTAGCACACTAGCACACCCAATCATAGTACTCTTTTTTAAGCAAGGCAGTGGTCATTTTTCCCCCCTATACTTAATTATGCATTCTCACTCCACGACGATGCCAAGACACACTTTGTGGAACCCTTTTTCAAGGTCTTCTCTGCACACAACCATCACCACCACCACCAACATCATCTTTCATATGTAGAAGCAACATCACCACCATGATTGCAGCTAACTCCCATTAGGCACTAAAGAAAGATGACTTTCCCAGACCTCAAATTCATGGGCTATGGTGATTCCATTGATTTCTCCTTTTTCTCAAGCCAACCTCGCCGGTTGACTTTCTGCTCAAAATCATCAAGAAATTGTCTGCTTCCAGTTACATTTATGTAGCAAAATTGTAGCCATAACCGGAAAAAATCCCTTGTTCAAGCTTCCATAAAGTACTAGTCAACATGCTCTACTTTTGGGTCATGCAGTCATTTATGCTCCTACCCTTGATCCCTTTCCCTACTTAAGTGGAATGGGACAACATTCTGCACAATAATGGTAAAGTGTAGCCTAGCCAAAAAAGTAACTGTTAAAGAGTAAATTAAAAAAAAAATACAGAAATAAAAATAAACTAAAAAAATACTCTTTCATTACAAGTTTGGGACCTGAAAGCCAAATTATTTTTAAATTCAAATTACTTTTATACTCTAGAACGAATAGAGAAGAGAAAAACCTAATATAAAATATGAAATCTTAGGCCGGATTTTTTTTCCAAAAAAACAGTTTAAACAGTTTATGATATTCTTTTGGAGAACGATGGTTTCTGAGAAAAACATTGCTTAATTGCCTAAGATCCTAAACGATGATCTATAGGAGTATTCAGGGAAGTTTTCCTGACACCGAAACCCTACCCTCAGCCTTAAAACCCATTAGCCCCAAAGAAATATAAATGATATTTTTTCCACAAGCCCAAAGAGAAGGCAACTATGACAGAAGGATCCATCTTACGATGCAGATGATAAGGGCAATCACCTAGATTCAACGGCCTAAAGAAACCCCAAAACTCTAAATCAAATGGCACCTAGGTCATTAAACTAAACTAGATAAGAGAACAGCGTGCTATTTTCTTTGGTCTTCAAATTAGGATGTTTCACACTGACCAAAACATCACTCAACAAACAATAAAAACAATACCAATACCCATATGGAATTTAGCAAAACTCCCACTCGCATAGTGTGGGGTTTCATACTGGTATGTAAAAGCAGCGGCATATATTTTGACGCAATAGCACATAAAAAGCAGCTGCATATACTATGACACAATTGCGCATAAAAAGCAGCTGCATATACTTTGACACAATTGCGCATAAAACTGAGCACAAAGCATTCAATATCAAAATACTTATATAAAGCAAGGTGACTTGCCACGTAGTAGACGTTTCTAAAGATCAGCTACTATCCCCTAAACACGTGAAGGGGACCAACTGTCTGCACACCTTCAAACCAACACGGGAGTTCATCTTCATCCACATGAAGCCAGTCTCATCTGGGTTGCAATTGGTTCCATTATAATAAAAAACACAAGGTTAAGTTATCAATGGAAATCCTCCCAACCAGTGGCTATCTTCAAGATCAACTTTAATCATGAATCGTCCTACTGAGGAGGGCACTCATGCTCCATGAAAACACTTCCTAGAGGCTTTGAATCTTTGGACTTATAAAATATGCGAATTTTGAGGTGCTTCCTTAGCCTGCCTTCCAGATTATAGAGTACTGCATTAGTTCTTATATGGGAAAAGAACCTTCAGTATAGGTTAGAAAACACAAATAATCGCGATGTTTATCATCTTCGCCATCATAAAAAATGTAAGCCGAAGGAAGACAACAATGTAGGAAAAAATGTGCAACATGGTTTGTATCTCTAATAGAAAATTTTATGCCATTGTCCAAGGATAATGTGATGATGCGATGTACAATCATTTCATAGAACAGTTCTACCATTATTAGAATGTTGAAAAGTTTAGTACTATAGAACACATGATGCAACTCACTTTTTGGGCTTCTCCATCCAACCATGCAAAAGTCAACCGTTTGTCTTGTAGAGCTTGGACAGCAAGTTGTGGGACTGGAAAATCATCCTTGTCAGAAATGTCTGTGGCAATTTCATCTGACAATATATCTTGGACCCTGCGCATGGTCTGTCTGCAAGTTAGATCAATCTCATTCACATGAAAAAGCAATAGAAGAAACTCAAATGAATAATGCACACAGAGGCTATTCTCTTAACTGAAACTGCTAATAGGGGAAGGTGTGAATTTAAATCCTCAACAAACAACAAGACTTGCAGAGTACAAAAGCATAGAATACAGAATAGAAACTTACTTCACGCATTTGATTAAGTTCTGGGCTAAGTCTTCCAGCAAGAATCACACAATACCAGGTTGTTGTGTGATTCCCGGCACGAGAGTAACCCCTAGCATCGCAACCCAGCTCCTTAGAAGTAACACTCCTAAGCTGGGGGAGCACTGAAAATTTATAGAATTTATGTCAGAAAGACAATGATGCTACAGACAGACACACTGGTACACACACACACACATACACACACACACACACAC